AAGTCTTTAAGAAGATGTTGGATAGCCATTTGTCTGAAACGGTATAGGGTTTCCTGCCTAGGCAGGGGGTTAGACTAGAAGACCTCCAAGGTCCCAAGGTCTGCTATTGTATTGTAAAATGAGGACCCAGGTTGTTGGGGGCAATAGGCTGACTCTGTAAACCACTTAGGGCTGTAAAGCACTGTGAAGTGGTATATAAGTCTAAGTGCTATTGCTACTAGGTAGCATCACCAATGTGACTAAATGTGGGGTTTCCTATCTGTTTATAGGTAGTTTGCCCTACCAGCAAACTTCACACTCACAGCAATGATGCTATTTAGTTGTGTAAGGAAATATCTGCAAACAAACAACCAAGCTCAGAGAGCATCAAGAATCTCACAACATCTTCATTATTTATTAGGGATTCAACATGGATTGGGAGATGGGAGAAGTAGTGCACTCTCTCTCATCCCAGACTACTTTGCAGATCTGTAATTATGAAAAGCCCATATTTGGAATAAACAACCTATAATCTCTTGAAAGGTTTTAGAAGCACTAAAACAAATAAAAATATTGTGGTATCAAAAACACTTGAATATGACCCTAGCTCTTTATCCTTCCAAGAACTAAATTAATAGGCTTCAAATAACAATCCAGGCCTTCATTCACAGGCTTGTTCTAATTCTTTATTCAATTGCCAATCAAACAAAACTCAAGACGTTCTACTTGTTTCATTGCCTTTTGGGGACATAACTGCATTTCAAGGTTAGATCAAGAAAAACAAACACCTCTTTATTTTCCCTTTCCTAACACTGTCATAATGGCTTTGGCAGAAGAGAATTGCCTTACCTCCAGGTAGACCAGGAACTGGTTCCAGTTTTAGACCAGATTCTGTAGTCCCTTCTCGTTCCTTCTCTTTCCCTCTGGCTGCTTGAGATCTGAAATCCAAGAAAAATGTCATAATTATGATCAATTAGTAAGTGATAAATAATTAACTTCAAAGTTAACAAATGTACTGAATGAAAGACTGAAAGAAAAATGTGTATTGCTTTCACTCTTTTTTCCTGACCACTCACTCACCTGCCCCACTTCACATTAAGCCTGCGGCCGTTCACAATGAGTTTGTTGAAGGATTTTTCTGCTGCTACTTCTGCAGCTTGTCGGGTAGCAAATTGGATAAATGCACACTGCTGCCTCTGGACCACTGTTATTGTCCGAATCTCACCAAACTGATAGAAGTGATTCCTGAAGAGGAAACAGCCTGACACTGTAATATATCTCTCACACACACCTATGTCACACAAAATCGAATTAACTTTTACAGCCAGTAAAGAAAGTTTGCTTCTAAATAAGTTCAACAATTAATTATATATATTTAATGCTATTTAAAGGTCTAAAAAAACAATCTAAAAT